AAATACGTGTTCTCATTAGAGAAAGGTATTCTAGAAAATGGAAAAATTTCCAGGTTGAGGCAGAAAAAATAAAAGTTTTCAGTTTGCCCCTTTCCCCTCTTTGGATGGTTTATAACTCCACATTAAATGACATTTGACTGCAAGTTTGCTCATGCAACAATATCAGGTTGGTGAAAAATGGGGGGTGGAGGAGGACAGGAAAAAGTTTTTTAAAAAAAGGAAAACCCCATGGTCACTCATCCATTCCGTTTCATTTCATCATCTTTTGAACAAAAAATTCAAAAGCTATTATATTTCTTGACTAATGAAACAACACAGAAAAAAGTGGGGCTGAAGCAGTAGAGAAGCGACATAAGTGAAAAGATTGCAAAGGTACTTTAAGGGATGTCATCCTCCCTCTTAAAATCATTAAATCCTGCTGTTTGATTGCTGTGCTTTCAAAGGAAAACAAATACAAGCAAAAAGGGAGGGATTTTTTCCCCCCTTCCTTGCTGTCCCCAGAAAGCAAATATCCCTACCAAAATCTGCCAGTGTCACTTAAATCAGTCCTGTCTCCGCGGGCTTTGCATTTAGTAAACAAAACAGAAGGACTGTAGTCAGAAACACGGGGTCACCAAAATCAGGACTAAGGGAAGGTTATTTCTCTGAAACCCCACCCCCTTTCATTAACCTGGTGTCATGACAAGCAACAGCGTCCTTGTAATATTCCAGCAACTGGAAAGCAAAGGGAGAGGGTGGGAATTATATACGGAGGAATATAATGGGAATTGTGCTGGGGTAAATGGACCAGCATTGCCTTCCTTTTCTTAAAAAAAAAAAGGCCATCTTCGCATGTACGGTTAAAGCAAGACCCTGAGTTTAGGAGACTCCTTCAGAGTGCACCGTCTTTTTTACAAGGGGGAAAACATTTACAGATGGACTGTCATTCTTCCAGTCCCACAGGCGGTAGAGGTTGTGCTGTGACTCTCTGCCTAGACCCAACCTGGGCATATTATTTCAAGAAAAGCAAAAAGGTTCAGGGGGCATAACCCCTTACCCGTCCCACCCCAGAGGAGGAGCAGTTGTTGAGCAGGGTGCCGTATTTGCCAAGGGATCTATTTAAAAGGGGTTCCTGATCCTCAGGTTCCCCCATCACTTCCTCTTGCCAGGGGAAGCTGCTGCTGCTGCTGCTGCTTTGATTAATAACATTTCTTCTTTCTCTTTTTTTTTTCTCTTTCTCTCCCCACCCCCCACCCCCCAATGCACTTCAGGCAGGGGGGAGGGGGCAAAGAATTGAAGACAGCCAGGGAATATCGAAATGGATAAGAAGAAGGGCAAGGGAGCACCATTCCTCTGATCCCAGACTCCAGCAACGCGGGCGCAAGGTGGCACAGAAGTCCAAAGGTAACGTCTCTTCCTTCCTCGTCCTCAGGAGCCCCCCAAAACACTCCAGCCTCTCGGCAAGACAAGAGAGAGAGAGAGATGACAGAACGAAGATTAAAAAAAAAACCAAGGTGAGGAGGTTGGGGGAGACGGGGACCACCCTAGCAAAGGAAGCTGGTTTCCCTAAAGGACACCCCCACACACACAAACACAGAGGCACTACTCCCTGACCATAACACTCACCCCCACCAGCCCCCATACACACACACACACACACACACACACATCTGCTCCTGGCTCTAGGTGAAGCCGAGGCAGGAGGGAGATCGTCCTGGCCAAAAATAGGGTGTCGGGAAGGGGGGGTTGGCATGTGAGGAAGGCCTCTCTCTCTCTCTCTCTCTCTTCGCCGCCTCCCCCTCCCCAACTCCATGCCACCCACCCACCCCCTGGCACCCTCCAGTTGCTGCCCCCCACCAGGGAAAGAGGGGGGGCAGGGGAGAAAGAAAGGGAGGCCAGGGGTGGGGGGGAGACCCCCCCTCCATTCCTGAGGGAGAAGGACAAGAAGAGGAGGAAGAGGAGGCAACCCTCCCCCCCCCACTCCTCCCCGGCTTTCCTCGCCAGGTTACCTGGCTTGGTGATCTCGGGGCCACTGAGTCCCATCTTGGCGGCGACGGTGGTGCTGCTGCTGGTGGTGCTGCTGCTGCCGGTGGTGCTGCGGCTGCCGGGGCTCTCTGTTTGGACATTAGCATTGCCTCCTACTCCTCCTCCTCCTCCTCCTCCTCCCGGGCTAGGGCTAGGGCTGTTGCTGCTGCTGCTGCCGCTGCTCACAACATGGTTCCCCAGCAGCCCCCCGGCCACCCTGAGGGGCTCCTGCGCCTTGTGGTGCGGGTGGTGGTGGCCCGAGGCCGCCAGCTGAGACTCCAGGGAGCCCACCAGGTCGCTCACCACCTTCTCATCCACCTCAGCGTTTAGGAAAACCTCATCCAGCAGATCCGACCCAGCCGCCATCTTTTTTCGGAGGGTTCCTGGCGAGCGGCTCCCTCCCGCCCGCCGCCCCCCCTCCCTCCTCTCTTCACTCCTCCCCCTGCCCTCCTCCTCCTCCGCCCTCCCTCCTGCTCTCTTCCCCCCCCCTCCCCACCTCACTCACTCATTTTACACATACGCTGCGCTTCCCCTCCCGCCTCGGCCTCCCCCACGGAGCATGCGCGGCGAAAAACACCGCGCGAGCGGGCTGGGAAAGCTTCGAGGGGGAGGGGGCGTCGAGGCGTCACCTCAGCGGCCGGAGAGGGATTCCGTCGGTTCCTGATTGGTCGGCGCCCGGCTATAAATACTGAGGCAAATGGCTGCGAGCGCTCAGACAGCGAACGGGCGGCGAGGGCCCGGCTGCGGCCTAGTAGTAGTGAGAGAGGGCCGGCCGCCGAAAGCCGGGCTGGCCGCACGCGCCGGCTGCCGGCCGAGGGGTCGATGAGGGGAAGTGGAGGCGGTGCTAAGGGTCGCGGCCGCCGACGCCTCGGGGCTGGCCGCGGCGGTCGCTGTCGTCCTTTGTCTGACGAAGCCCAAAATGGCTGCATGCTCCGCGGCGGCGGCTGGGTCGCCTCTCGCCAGCGCGCCTGGGGCTCCCCGGCCGGCTCGAGTCTGAAGGACTCCCCGCACCTGTGCCAGCTTATGAAAACCACCCGTCACTTGAACCAGGGAGGCTGGCGCAGAGCTCGGGGCCTGGTGCACGGGCAGGCCAGCCACGTCCCGCCGCCTCGTCCTAGCGGGCGTTCCCTGCCGCCCGTCCGTGGTCCAGCCGGGCCTGGCCGGAAAAAAACCCGCGACCTCCTCGTTGACCGGCCTCCGGACGCGGGCCGGGAAGGAGGTCAAGGCTCTTGCCGCGCCCTTAAGCCTGGCCTGAGCGCGCCTCCGGCTTGGCTTGACTAAGCGAGGCTTTCCTCCTCGTATTTACACTTTGTGCCAAAGTTTGGGTGGCCGGTTCTGCCGGACAGCGGCCCGCGTACCCCGAAACCCCCTTGTTTCCCCCACCTCTTTTCACTTTGGCTATGTGGCCCCTCACACACACACCCCACACACAAAATAACCCCCTTTTTCTGTCCCCCCTCCCACAAAAGAAAAGCTGCTGGCGTTTCGAGGGAGCTGCGGGTGTTAAAACAGCGTCCTCTCCCGCCTTTCCTTTTCAAGCGCTCAGCTACTACTTCCTTCTTTTCCGTCAACCACCGCTTGACGCGTCCAACCGCCTTTTTTTTTATTTATGGCATAATACACACTTGCACACTTTAGGGGACTAGTTGCGAGCAGCTGAAAATGCGTAACGCAGCCATGTCTTCCTACCTTCTCTGTCACGGGCAGTCAAAAATAGACTCCGTTGTGCAAAAGATAAGATACAGCTGCTTTTAGGTTTTATTTTAGGGAGAAGCCAGGATAGACGTCCTGAGAAGTATCAGCCCAAGGAAGGGAGGGAGCCTCATTATATATATATATATATTCAGGAACAAAAACCATCTGCAAAAGCATATTTTTATTTTAAAAAAAGGTTAGGCTACGTTCTAAAATTGTTTATTCTGGTCCTCGCTGTCTCCTCCCTTCTCCAGACAAGCGAGAATGCAAATCAATACTTCACAATGTCAGATCAATTGAATAATATCAGCACACCCTTTGTATTTCATCCCTCCTTTTCTGTTTTATAAGAATGAAATTGAAAAACATTTTGGGTTTTATGAGCGCTGTCTCCCTTGCAGAGATACCTTATGTTTCTTTTGCCCTTTATTAATTATTTCTGTCTTTTAACCCACCTCATCCTGAGGAGTCATATTGGGTGCAATACTTTATAATTTATGCTTCTAGTCAGGCTTTGAAAATGGTGCAAATTAGAAGGGAAGTAAACATCTATTTAAATTGATAGTTTATTTTAAAAATCAGTGCAAATCTGGGGAGGGGGATCAAAATGTATGGAATATTAAGCTCTTGGATTCAAATGAGCCATTGCTAAGACAAAAGGAGGGAGTTTTCTTATTCTAAAAAGTAGTAATAAGATTTAAGATTTGTTGTTTATGAAAGGTCTCTAACTGGAGAGGTTAGTGCTCTTTGCAGGAGATACATTAACTGATTTTTTTATTAAAAAGTGGCTAAGAATAATGAGCACATTATTATATATAAGGGAGCTGCTCATTGTTGTGTTGTCTTTTGTCAATTTTGCAGATATTGGGAGCTAACTGGTATACATTTCAGACAATGTTTCTTATCTTGGGGACTTTAAAGTGTGTGGACTTCAACTCCCAGAATTCTCCAGCCAGAGAGCAAGAACAGCAACAGAGAAAGTATATCTCCCAGGTATCGTGAAATGACATTGGTTTTTTTAAAGTTTTTTATTTTATTTTAAAATGAACAAAAATATACGTTAAAAAGTATCAGTTACATGTCTATTTAGCATGTTGTTTAGTCACAAATATTTGTGCATCACTGCTTTCAATTACATATAGAATCAGTAATTATCAGCCCAATATACATTAATACATTATCATTGTAGATCATATATTCAATTTATAATTTCTTCCTTTTGAACATGTGTTCTAAGGATTAAATTCAAATATATGCTAATTATCTGTCACATCATTGTAAATCTATTAAATAGTAACAAATCTTAATGGTATCATGTATCTTATTTTAATATTTCTTGCAATATATATATAAAAAGGATTCACCAACATATTTGTATATCATTACTTTCAGTTATATGTAAAATCATAAAATATCTATCAAATGTATATAAATACATCTTGTATCATATAATCAACTACAATTATTATTTCTTCATTTTAAACAAGATGTTCCAAATATTCAATTCATATATATACCAATGTTCTATTATTTTGTTATAAATCTATAGAATGTATATATTCAATTCATATATATACACCAATATTCCATTACATTGTTATAAATCTATAAAATCTATATAAAAGTAATATGTCTTTATAAAATCTCCTGCCACATTCTATTATTACAGTTCAAGATTATGGTAATTGTATTCATTGATAAAACAAGTCCCAAATCTTATAAAATTGTTCATCCTTGTTGTGAAATGACATTGTTGACTATATGGGATACAAAGTACGCCAACCCTATCAGAAGTAATGGAACAGCAGAAACTGCCCTGGAAGAAGACAGTGCTGTAAATGTCCCCTGCTTTACAAATACTTATCTTCAACTTGAATTACACGGCCCACTAGTAATCTGTGCGACTTAAGTAGCAGAGGGGTTAATAATTGGTGTATCAAGGCTCAATTACAGATGATCCTTGATTTATGACCACAATTGAGCCCAAACTTTCTGTTGCTAAGTGAGACATTTGTTAAGTGAGTTTTGCCCCATTTTACGACCTTTGTTGCTACAGTTGTTAAGTAAATCACTGCAGTTAGTAAAAGGGTTGTTAAATGAATCTGGCTTCCCCATTGAGTTTGCTTGTCAGAAGATCACAAAAGGTGATCACACAACCCCAGGACACTGCAACTGTCATGAGTCAGTTGCCAAGCATCTGAATTTTGATCATGTGAACATGGGGCTGCTACAACGGTCAGAAGTGTGAAACACAGTCATGTCACTTTTTCACTGTTGCTGTAACTTCAAATAGTCATTAAACAAACTGTAGTAAGTCAAAGGACTACCTGTAATGCATACAGGTGAAACTTGAAAAGTTAGAATATCGTACAAAAGTTCATTTATTTCAGTAATGCAACTTAAAAGGTGAATCTAAAATATGAGATAGAATAATTATATGCAAAGCAAGATAGCTCAAGCCGTGATGTGTCATAATTGTGATNGGGGGCTCTTGTTAGGAGTTGAGGGTTATCCTGATCCAGCGAGTTATTAAAAAGCACTGGTACATTGATATTTATCTCTGATATTGCAATTTTCTACTACTTTTACACTTTTTGTATTATTCTTTTACAAACTTAAACCTTGTGTTTAAAAGACGTTATGTGTCACATTGGACATTTTTCACAAAGTGTTGATTAAATATAATATTTAAGCAATGAAGCTGATGGCCTACATGTGCAAAAAAAGTGCACAAAAATATTCCTGGTATAAAATTATGCCTTTTGCAGGCAGTACAAGAGATGCAAAACCCAATTCTCTGCTTTACTGAATGTGAGTACAACAGAGCTTCCGATAAAAGTATGGACCTTAATTTTCTTCTTAAGGCTTTTTTGGTATTTTGCCATGATCACAAGTCCAAAAATTCTATACCAGCGGTCCCAATCTTTTTGGCACTAGGGACCGGTTTTGTGGAAACAATTTTTCCACGGACCCGAGGGGGGGAGGGAGCATGCAACCTAGATCTCACACATGTGCAGTTTTACTCACTCGCCCCTCACCTCCAGCTGTGCAGTCCAGCTCCTAACATGGATTGGGGATCTCTGTTCTGGACAGTAAACCACCCACTGGGATGTGTTTAAGGCAGGAACTTAAATACTAGGAAAGCTAGGAACTTTTTTAAAAGAAAAAAAATACTTCATTTTACAAAAAGTGTACTACTGGTCCTGTGTTTCTTCAAGAAGACTAAACTCACTGGAGCATCATTTTTGTGTTTCAGTAGGCAACATGCTGTGTAGGAAGATGTTAACAATGGAAGCGTCCGAAGCTTTCTGAATGTGTAAAAAAGCTAGATAGGTAACTTGCTACAATCTGCAAGGTAAAGATTATCACAGACACTGCAAACAAAATGCTGCTGCTTTAGAAGACTATAGCAAAAGCAATGTAAAATCCTTGTTTTTAATATGATATATGCCTATCAGTTTAAGCGTTTTGCAGGGATATAGATCAAGCCAAATACTATTTTTGCTATTTAAAGACCCTTCAAAGAAGCACATTAAAACATGTGTCATCGCCCCCCCTCCCCCCACTGATCACTTCACCTTGCAAATAAAACAACTTACTTTCAACTACTCCACAGACACTCAAACCCAATTAAAACTAGCTGGTTTAAGGATCTGGGAAAGCATTCAGATCCTTGCCATCCTCTTTCTGGAATTCAAAAGATACTTCTCAAAATGTGAGAAAGTTTCTTACGTAACACTCAGTAAGAACATGTGCCTAGAAATTCATGTTTACCATTAATTTTTTTTTAAAAAAAATCTCAAACTAGTTAGTAAATCTGAAGTTTGGATATCTTTCCTTTGTGATCACATGGAAGCAATGAAATTCATGCAATCCAATTAGGTTTCAACTCAGAAACTCCCCACCTAATGTTATCCTGGTCCTCAAACATGATCTTAATGACTGCATGTTCTACAGCATGACACAAAATGAGGTGAGGTGAGGTGAGGACAGAATGTAATTGGAATGTTACTGTAGACATGTCACATAGTCTCTGATGATTTTCAACTGACAGAATTTTTTCAAGAGTAGCAAATTGCACTTGCTCTTTGCTGCTTCTGTGGCAAGCTAAAACAGAGAAGTATGAAGACCTAGACATATCCTAGGACAAGCTCATCCTCCCTGAATATATTAGCATAACATTTCATTTTATAGTAGGGTTTGCTACTTTGATCACCCATGGAAAAATCTATCATGCCATGCTTTAACTTGAAAGATTTAAGTCAATGTGCACTTGAAACCCTAAATACTGTAGATGTCACATGCTACTCTGAAAAAAAAAATCAATATGATTTACAGTTGTGTGGCTCATAGGTACTGTTAGAACCTGGATAATCTCAGCTTTCACTTCTTAACAAAGTTGTGCTTCTAGTCCTCATGCATGCTTACACATCTAAAGGGAAAATTAACAGGCTAAAAGTACTGGAGAAAAGCTCAAAATCTAATCTCTTTCTTCAAACATAATCTAAGAACAGCGTCCAATAAAAATGCTGTGAAGTCAACACAAAATCTCTCCTTAATTCTTGTACTACAGGCAGTCCTCGACTTACAACAGTTTATATAGTAACTGTTCAAAGTTACTACAGCACCGAAAAAGTGGCAAGACAATTTTTCACATTTATGCCCATTGCATCATCCCCATGGCCATGTGATTTACATTTAGATGCTTGACAACGGGTTCATATTTATGAATATGAGGGTGCAGGGTGTCCTGAGGTCATGTGATCCTCTTTTGCGACGCCCTGACCAGCAGACTCAATGGGGAAGCCAGATTCACTTAACAAGCGTATTGCTAATTTAACAACTGCAGTGATTCACTTAACAAATGTGGCAAGAAAAGCCGTAAAAAGGGGACAAAGCTCACTTAACAAATTTCTCACTCAGTGGCATAAATTCTGGGCTCAATTGCGGTCGTAAGTCGAGGGCTGCCTGTACTACCTTATTTCACAAACCACTGCAGAACAAAATGAGGTTCCAAAGGCAGCTCACCACACAAGCTATCCAACCATGCTTAGAAGCAGAATCCCAAACGCTTTTATTTAAGCAAGAAACTCCAAACGCACAAGTCTGGAATAAAAGAGGAATTTCTCTCCGGTCTTTTCTTACCTGGTGGCAACTGAAAGTTCTGAATATTCGTTGGATTCTGAGAAGGCTGAGGCAGACGAGGTGCTAAAACAGTGGGAGTCAAAGTTGCTCGGATTCCACTGGTGGTTGCGGTTGCAGTCCTGGGCAGGCTCTGCGCCACTGTATTGGCAGCACCCTTAGCCAGACCAGTGGGAGTACCTGGAGGTCCAGGAGGTACTCCGCCAGGATTAGGAGCTACGTTGGGTAGGCCAGCTTGCATAGTTTGCCCAATGATCATATTACCCCCTGTAGTACTAGGCTGGCCAGCTGCAGCCAGAGTTTGCTGCTGGGTGACTGTTTGCACGATAGTTTTAGGAGACTCCGCTTTGATGATCTGGGTGGTGGGTGCAGCAGCGGATACCCCAGATCCTGGCTGGCTGTTCACAAGAGAAGTCTGGAGAGACACCCCTGAACCAACCGTGGCGGCAGCAACAGCCGCAGTCGGAAAACCTCCCACGTTGATGGTCGAATTGATCACAGTACTGCTCCCATTTTGCGTGGCGGCAGCCAAGGGTCCTGCCGCATGGATGGGCGGCCTTACCAACGCTACCGTTGGGCCCCCGGTCCCGATATTGGGGGGCTGTTGTGAAGAGATCACCGTAGGTGAAGGTGAAGAGGCAGAGGACACTCCAGGGCCAAGGAAAGAAGTCTGGATGACAGTATTTGAAGCAGATGGCAAGACAGCGTTCACGGTGTTGACTTTTCCAATATTTCCAGGTCCATTGTTCACAAGAGGGGCAACCGCAGGGACCACGGTAGGATTCGCTGTCACAGGAGTGGCCGAAAAAGATGCGTGGGAATTCATCACCACGTTACTTCCGTTCAAAGTCTGCACTGCGGTGGTCCCGATTTTACCATTCCTGGTGGATAAAGCTGTTGCCATGGTACTGATTACCACTGATTTGCCCTGATTAAGGGTCCCTGGGGTAATAGCAGCTTCAGAGCCACCTTGGACATTTGTGGTGGTGGTGCTGCTAGTTGTAGTGGTCCCATCCAACGCAGAACCCTGGGACCTGGCATTATGATTGATAACACTCCCTTGCACTCCACCGGCTCCTGCAAATAAAACAAAGTTTAATTATAATATAAAAGGTGGGAAAGTAAACAGGCTCGATAGGTCCAGCACAAACTATATTGCCCCTATGTCAATATGTCCCCAGTATTGAAACAACATCTGAAAGGGGGGGGGGGGAATCTTAGCAGTTAAAGACTTTGCTTAAATGGACTCCAGAGGATGAGGACAGGAACACCTGGAGGAAAGTTGTCCATGGGGTCGCGATGGGTGGGACACGACTTTGCAACTAACAACAACAATACTTTGCTACTGTTCCCTCTACATTGATATAATAATCTTCCATTAACAGCCAAGAAGTCCCACAAACAAATGCAAATTGCATAGACATGCTACAAAAAATAAAAGTTTTCAGTTTGCCCCTTTCCCCTCTTTGGATGGTTTATAACTCCACATTAAATGACATTTGACTGCAAGTTTGCTCATGCAACAATATCAGGTTGGTGAAAAATGGGGGGTGGAGGAGGACAGGAAAAAGTTTTTTAAAAAAAGGAAAACCCCATGGTCACTCATCCATTCCGTTTCATTTCATCATCTTTTGAACAAAAAATTCAAAAGCTATTATATTTCTTGACTAATGAAACAACACAGAAAAAAGTGGGGCTGAA